ATTCTGTCATTGATTTAGTGCTGTTATTGATACTTAAACTCCTTTAGTCTTTGCCCATTACAGAATGCATAGAGTCAGATAATCTGTCATTAGTTAACATACCTCTAGATGGTTGTCTTTGACTTGTCTGCATAGTCAGTGTGCCCACTACTGCACCCATGTTGTCACCGCAAAGACACGCACGTTCAAACTATTAAACGTTGAGTCCGCGAGTCTGTCTTTGTTGAATCCCCTGCTCTTGTTTCCCTCTCCACTCTCCTCTCACTTGTCAGTGAATGAAGACAAGCTGGAATTTTCTTGCTAAAAGCATATGGTTCCTTCCTTGATGCCCCTCCCACAAATTTCACTCCCTCTCTCCCTTCATTTCTCTTTCTTTGCTCTCGCTCTTGCTGTTTCTGCTTGGTCCCGTTTGTTATTCGGTGTCAGGAACTGTTGCTGTGCAGGCGGATCAGCCTGATGGGAAGCAGTAGGAAGAGTGTGAGGATGAAATGCTCCTCTCTGTGGCGCACACACACACATACACAGCAAGCAGATCTGTTCCTTATGGAATTGCTAAATTTCACACAGGCTGAATGTGGCAAGATGGATGATGACTTTCGTTCACACTCTACTCTTATATGCTCAAGCATTTGTTGTTCTATCATGGTGGGATGTTCAATTGACTTCTGTTCTTATATAGTGCGAATGATGTTTTCTATACTCTAACCTACATCTAAACTTTACAGAATCCATTTGAAAGGGATACTTCAGTCAAGAATGACAATTTTGTCAATTACTCACCCTCATTTTGTTTCAAATCTGATTAATAAAAAAAAATAAAAAAAATTGAAAAATGTGTTTTTGTTCATGTTTATGTATGGAAAAGACCCTAACCCTAACTATAGAAAGAAAGAAATAGAAAAAGAAAGAAATAGAAAAAGAAAGAAAGGGAAAAAAATTCCTGAATAAATTTTTGTGTGAGCTGTCCCAAAAATAATTACTGTCCCTTTATTCTTATTCTTTATTATTTTCCTCATAGGTACGCTGTAAAACAGCTGGTTCCATTTACAGTAAAATGGCAGCTGTGGTTGCCAGGAATTGACTATAAAATATAGTTACAATGTTTCATTACAGGATTTCATATTGGTGCAGGTATATTTTATAACTTTTAACTGTATATTATGTGATATAACATTAATAATGCAAGCTATAAAAATCTGTTTTACTTTAAACAAATAATAAGTAAATAACAGAAAATTTTACGCAAAACATCCTAACATATTTTACAGATAACAAAAATAATAAATTGCCGAAAAAATATTTATATAAAATGTAATCATATGTGATGTTTCATGTGGGGACTTCTGAGAATGTTTGAACTGTTTTTCACGATGAATTATACAGTAATTTATACTTGTAAACCCCACACATTTCACAGTTTTGTACAGTACAATTATGTATAATTTATGTAAACATTTATCCCGTAAACTGGTTTTTACTGTAGCATTTTTAGCCTTTCTCTGTAAAAAATTACAAACATTTTACAGTGTACCACTTGCTGGTCACCCAGTGTTGGTGATTTTAATGCATTTGTGGAGACATTTAGTTCCCATATTGTAGGCAAAACCTTATCCACATACATCAAATGAGCTGTGGTATGACTGAGTATTTGGTTTCATCATCCACTGTTCATTTCCAGTTATGAGCCTTCGTGCGTGTATGCGTGTGTGTGTGCGTTTGCAATTTAGTGTCTCAGATAAGAATGTTTCACGGATCAAGTACTCTAAGTTTCAGTGTGTACGATGCACAAATGTGCGTTTTTGATGTACTGTACATATAATAAAAATGACCCAACGACGCCGTAAAACGACCCAAATACTCTTGTTTGTTTCGGTATTCTCTCTCATTAGTGGGGAACCAACCCTACAAACTTTTCCGATTAAAGAGATGGAAACAGAGATAAAGAAAAACAGAAAGAGGAAGCAGAAAGACAAATACAGAGGCAAAGAAATTGCCGTTGGGGGATGTCTGAATTTCAAAACAGCAGGTCTGTAACCTTATTAATAATCCAAAAAAGATGAGACTTCAGATGGACGAGCTTTGGGCTGGGAGTGAGGAGAGAAGTTGAAGGTAATGAGTAATTACATAATATCAACCTGCACCGCTCCGTATTACGCAAATCCAGCAGGAATGACCTGAAAATCAGGCCAAGATATCCAGAGATATCCACATTCTAGCACATAGGCATCTGCATTCCTTCACTACAACCCAGTCTGCAACAACAAAACACCCTGAGGTTGTACCATCTGCCTCACACAGGATAAAGACGCTGGTATCAGCATTCAAATTTCATCAGAACACATTTTTTTTTTGTTGATGAAAGACGTTTGTAATGGTTTTCTCGCTTTGGCACTCATCATTGGAAGAGAAACAATGATATCCAGCAAACGACTGGCATGTGTGAAATCCAGGCAGGCAGGTGTAAGCCTCTTTTCTCACTCTGAAGTGTCTGTTAGACTTTCCTTTGCAGACACCTCATTGAATCTGCTAATGCACTTGGGAGATGGTTACAGATGATCGGCTTACCCTTGGAAACATATTCAATGGTGCGAATAACAGCCTGAAACCTTGTATCACTGAGAACCTGTAATCATAGTAATATTGTTAATAGGGTTTTGCAACAGAAGTATAGTAAGAAATGGCATAACAGAATTTTACCAGCAGTGCGGTTAAAAAAAAACAGCAATATGTTTGGATTATGTATGTTTGAAGTAATTAATAATTCATCTCTCCTATTCTTGCGTGAGCAGAAAGCCATTGTTTCTGCACAGCGTTTCCTAACATCATAATTTGTGGTGTTGTCATTTTATTTTTTAAGCTACTGATCTTTAGATTACATAAAAATGATCAAAAACCTTCTACACTAAATTCAAGTGTGAGATGGAAACATTAACATATATTAATATTATTATACTGTAATTTGTTATAATAATACCAAATAGTGTTTTTCATTGTAGCTTAAAATGAATAAAATGCAACCAATATAAGCCATGTATATGAACTCATTTAAGCATGCTAAATTAAATATTACTTGGGTTTGTTTCTTATATTAATTGTTATATTCCTCAAGTATTGATCACAAAAGAGTACCGTTTATTTATTTATTTCCTCCCTGCTTAAGGTGTCGATTCTGGTGTTCCCAGGATGCACCAGGGCATGAATAATTAATAAGACATCAGGTTTTCACTTGTTTAGCAACTTGTTTTGTGACATATGGAATTCATTTTCTAGTTGAAATTATCTATTTTTTGGTCATTGGTAAAAAGGAGAAAGAAAGCGAGATTACCTGTTAATTGTTGCAACTATCATGTCTTGTGTGTCAAGTATTGGGCTCTTTGTGTCTTTTCAACTAAAATTAGACATAAGTCTTCCACATCATGGGTTGTTTGAAAGGTATCTTAAAGGGGTCATATGATGTGATTTTTAAGCTTTCCTTTGTCTTTGGAGTGTTACAAGCTGTTCGTGCATATATAAGATTTGTAAAGTTGCAAAGACTAAAGTCTCAAACCCAAACAGATAAAAACGCCCTTCCTAAAACGCCTCATTTAAACACGCCCCCACATATCTATGCCACTGTGTTGGAAGATTTGCATAACACCGCCCAAATGTTTACGCAAAGAAAGAAGCCGTAACTTTTATTCTCACTGTAGTATTGTTGCCGCCACCGCCATGTCGTGGAGACTCTGTGTGTTTCCAAATATGGTATGGGCATAACATTTCCATCACACTAAGGAAGTTAAACCTGCGAGTTGCGTCGCATGTATGCTTTTGTATGCTTCAACGCATACAAAAACACAAACATAGCATTGAAACACGGTATAGCTGCAATGCTTTATATAGGCCATTCCTACAAACTACAAAAACTAGAGGAACACTATTTAAAGTCGAAACTGAAATCTCCCCAACACATGAACCTGAAGCAATGCCCTTCAGAAATCCAGCAGAAGTTCTAGTCCATCAGGGCTGAGTGCCAAAGCCGACATACAGTTTGCATCTCTAGTTAAAAACTCACAGGCAGCTCCTGTAACTCCTGGGGATTTTAGTGAAGACTTCAAACAAGCTTTCTGTCTTCCTGCCCAGAACTCGTAATCCTCTTGGCTCCATAATCATTCGTCAGGTCTCCGGTGTGTGTATATGAAATGTGGCTCTCTCTATTGCTCTTATGAGTGTGTAAAAACACATGCTCCCACATGTGAGTGCAGTGGTGTTGATGGTGTGTTGATTTGTTGCAGTATTGTTTTAGCGTATTCTGTTGTGTATTAAAGCTGTGGAGAATCAGAAATGTGCATGGAGTGTAGGTTAATTAACCTTCAAGGCATAAATAATCACTAACAAACCACCTTCTCTCTTTCCTCTTTTTATGCATTTTCTTATCACATACTTGCAGCCTGATCGCTCCTCTTTTCAAACCCTTCAAATCGCCACATCCATGCTTTCAGCTCTGAGCGTTACAGGAGGTAATAATTTTGGAATAAATGGCCATGTAATACTTTCATAATCCATAATGCCTTGTATGGATCCCATGCCAGCATGTGCCAACACATTCACTTCATCCTTTGCACATGCACACGCTGCACATTCACTTTATCAAAACTAAATTAGGCTAATTAAAATCGCTATTTGCTTGCCCTTTGAGATATAAATTCTGGCATTTGTGGGCGTGAATAAAAAATATTCTCTCTATGAACTATTTTTCCTTTATAACACAACCCCAAGAGGAGTTTTTCTAATTTAGCTAACTTTAATTTTGTTGCCCAAAAATTATCTAGGTTAGAAACACACACGCAGACATTCGAGTTGCACGTTAAGTAGAACAATAAATGTTAAATGTTATGATAAATGTATACAAAAGTTATATATTCTAATTCTCTCGATCTTCTCATCTACTCGTCTACCACTCCGTTCTCACAAATAACTTATGAAAGTATTTCTAGCTGGTTAATGTGTAAATTGGATCCTACCTGTCCTGAAGGTGACCTGTTTGGTGTGCATAGAGAAGGTCCCAAACACTACACCCATCTTCAACAGAGTTCTTCACTTTTTCGCTTTCCTAACTTTAGATCTTGGTTTGAAAAAAGCACTAGTCCCTGTTTTTGTCCTTATCTTCTGATCTTTCAACCTTCTTTTACTCTCAGGGTTGTTAGTTACTTAGCTCTCGCTCTCTCTGACTTTCCTCCACGTTCTGTCTGTATATCATGTGGACTCTGAAGGCTGCTCATCATTTCCTGAGCTGTTATTGGGGGCTGAGAGAGACACGGAAAGAGAGCGAGGGAGAGAGAGAGATGGTGAGTGGTTCATTTAGGAGTACTAGTGGAGAATGAGGGAGTGATAAAACTGAGTAGTTAATAGGTCTATCCAGCAGTGTAAGAACAGAATCATGATGGGTGCTTAGAAAAAGAAACAATATCAGACTTTTTCCAGCAGGTTTGAAAAAATGATCCTTTTCAGTCAGAGATTTTAAAAGTGAAGTGTGTAATTTCTGTGGCACTATACCATTATCAAAGAGAGTTGTGAAAATAAGGAATGTTTTCCAAACAGGTTTCCTAAACATTGTCTGCTATTGGTCGGTCAAACAAATCGTCCCGCCCCCAAATTCACACCATTGGTTGAGCCAGTTTTTTGGTGTTACTTTATTTGATTATGCATATATAATAACTTATAAGTAGGCTATAGCACTTTTGTTGTATAGCAATTTAGGTTGATGCATTGGTTGAATATACACTACCATTCAAAATTTTAGGGTAATTGTTTATGTATTTGAAAGTTTATTGCTCACCAAGGCTATATATTTTATTGAAATACAGAAAACCAGTAAATATTGCGAAATATTGTGAAATTGTGAAACATTATAACTATAATATTTGTTAAAATAATTGTTTTGTATTTGAATATCATTTAAAATGTAATTTATTCCTGTGATGCAAAGCTGAATTTTCAGCAACATTACTCCAGTCTTCAGTGTTATATGATCCTTCTGAAAGTATTCTAATATGCTGATTTGGTGCTCAAGAAACATTTTTATTATCAATGTTAAAAACAGTTGTACTGCTTAATATTTTTGTGAAAACAGTGATACTTTTTTAAAGGATTCTATGATTAATATAAAAGAACAGCATTAATTTGATTTATTTAATGTGCGATTGCTAAATATATGTATTAATTACAAGTATTAATACAAGTTAAAAAATACAAAAGTCTACTGACGTAAAACTTTTGAACAGTAAAGTTGTTGAATTAATTATTAATTATCGCATTGATTGATGTCTGTCTACATACTGTATGTTGACTTTAATGTGTTAAAAATGTTATAATGCTCCATTTTTTTAAATAGTGTATTTGAAGATATAAATTTGACTGAACCATTGGTTTTCTCACTCAGATACATGGTTTTATGGGCTCTATCAGTGGTCAGAGTATCACAGTGTGAGGATTAAGATAATCACTTTAACCAAAGCGCTCTTGCTCGCTTTCTAGAACATGTTGGACTCTTATCTATCTGGGCCACTTAAACATTGACATCTTTTAGCACAGCTCTCATATTGACTCGTTCACACGCAGAGGGAAAATACTAGAGATTCAATTACACCCTGCAATTAAAATACAAGCATTTGGGCTATTAAAAAGAGAGCTTTAAGAGCATCAAATCCTTGAGCTGGAAAAACCCCTGGATAAACAAAAAGCAGGGCTGAAGCATTTGTTCAAGAAGGGGGATGAAAAACAGAAAAAAAAGGCTCAGAGGAGGATAGAAAAAACAGGGATGATGTGAGGATGACAAGGAATTGTGAGGACGAGGCTTTGCACCCTTGATCTTTTCACAAATCTCTCTTCTCTTCTGTCATTCCTCTGAGTGCAGAGGAAAATGTGTGAGAGCCAGATAGAAGTGAATGAAAGTGAAGGAAATGAAAAGAAAGGAAATAACAGGAAAGAGATGAGCTGCTTCTTTTGAGTAAACACTTGTTCTGTCAAGAGCTGATCATTAAAACACGTCTCTGCAATGTGCTTGCACATCATTCCATGTTCTTTCATCTGCCCTTCCCTTTCTTCTTCTTCTCCTCCTTAATCTTCTACCCAAGCATCCCCATTTGCATCCGCCCTGCTGCTGTCAGAGGAAACTGCTAGTGCAGTGAAGGATCCAGGAGCAGGTGAGGTTAGGACAGACGATTGATCGGTGTATTCTCAGTTCAGTATGAGATACTGTTTTGCTAGAAAAGAGAAATCGCAATGGAGATCTCTTTATTATCTCAGCTGTTTCTCCAAGACAACACTGAGATTAATTGCAAAGATATTGAGACTTTTTCTTTCAAGTCAGCATGAAACTGTGATAATAACCTATTTTATATCCATAATGACAGCAACCGAGAAGTAAAGTTGTTTCAGATGCAGAGCCAGTTATTACGTTTATATTAAATACTATGAACCTTTTTAATCTATGGCACTTTTGAATCATTCACAGCGAGAACAGACACACATGCTAAAATTCACTCAAAAATGAAAATTCTGTCATTAATTACTCACCCTCATGTCGTTCCAAATCTGTAAAACCTTCATTTATGTTCATATTCGTTCATCTTCGAATGAACTACATAGACAGCAATGCAACTGAAACGTTCTCAGTGGTTCAACTGAAATTTTATGAATCTACGAGGAACATTTTTTTTGTGTGAAAGGAAAACAAAAATAACAAAATGTATTCCCGTAGCTTCAAAAAATTACAGTTGAACCACTGATGTCACATGGGACTATTTTTGAACGATGTCCTTACTATGTTTCTGGGCCAGGGAACTTTTCAGTTGCGTTGCTGTCTATATGCAGGGTTAGAAAGCTCTTGGATTTCATCAAAGATATCTTAATTTGTGTTCCGATGATGAACGAAGGTCTTACGGGTTTGGAACAACATGAGGGTGAGTAATTAATGACAGACATTTTTGGATGACCTATCCCTTTAAAGAGTAATAAGATCAGTATCATGCAGTTTTAGGTAACAGCAGCTGTATGTGACCAAAAGTGTAAGTTTTATTGGTTGGCCAGTTCTTTGCAGTGGAAAAGAGTTTAGAAAGCAACCACTTATTTGCTGTCAAATTTTAGCTCTGAGTATCTATGTCCTACAATCCACACTGTAACACTAAAAGAGTTAAAGGGGTCATATGATGCGATTTCAAGTTTTCCTTTCTCTTTGGAGTGTTACAAGCTGATTGTGCATAGATAAGATCCCTGAAGCCATTATATGGTGTTTTCAAAGCTAATGTATCAGTCGCGCGACAGCGGCAGCTGCAGCTCACAGTATGTGAGTTACTGCCTGGGGTAGATCATCAGCCCGTGCCCCCTCATATACCCACAGTTCACAGTCAGCTTCTGCTCCAGGCCTGCTGTCGACTGTATGTAAACTAGGTCCCTCGTGACAGCTTAAGGACTGCAGTATGATTTGCAAATGTGATACGATTACAAATGCTACAAATGCATGGCGTGCTGTTTATGCCATGAAAAAATTAACTGGTTGTTTATGGAGTTGTGCAGTGTTTTTCAGGTTTCTTACTTGTAGTCAGTTTCTTTATGAATAGCTGTTACACATGTTTTTGCCTTGTAGACAATTTGTTGAGCCTGTTGGCTGCAGATATATTTTCCTTTTGTCATACCTAATTTTGCCAGCCACCTTCAGAATGCTTACAGAGGCATTAAGTCATTTTAATACAGCCCGTGCGATTTTGCTCAAGTGCATTTATTTAGGATATTATACTGCCATCCTGTGGTTACTTATGGGACGCCCCCCTCCCCCCCAGACATTAATAGTTAAAGCTACAGTATGTAACGGTCCTCTAGTGGTTGACGATAAAACTACAAGTTAGTGAGTTGTGCTATATTCTTCGCCGGTGAATCTGATGTTTAATGCATAAACAACACTATTTTGTTACTACCGATGTCAATGAACAGAAAATGTGATGATATGCAACTAAACATGAAAAGCCAAGCCTTTGATTGGTGTTTTATTACGTGGACTCTCCCTTTCCTTTGTGGCTGGTTTCCCCGCAAAATCCGCCCAGAGTCCAGATCAGCTCTTACAGTTTTTTTCCAACTGCCTTACACGCTTTTTCAAAACTTTCTCTTTTTTTTTTTAATGTACACACAAAATGCAAAATGCCTCACATCTCTTGCAAAATGACGCACTGCATTCAAAATATCACAAACACATCTCAAAAGCAAACATTTGCAAACACCTTTGCCATAATAATTCCTGTTAGATTTTTGTGTTTTAGCTACATAGAGAACTGTGTGTTGTGTTTAGCAAAAAGTGTTTCATGAAATTGAAAACCGAGTCAAAGGCCCAAGAATTAGTGTATGGTTTTGCAGATTTGGTGTGTGGTTCTGGTGTTTGAGTGTCAGGTTTCAGAAATTGTGTGACAAGAAAAGATTTTGTGTGTTAGCAGTTGAAAAAAAAAACTGTAAATATTGGCTAAATTAGCAATCGTGGTGGTTTGAGGTAAGACAAAAACACTGGAAGATGTATTTATGATGTGTTCAGTAATTTTTTGTTTTTTTTTATATTTCAGAAAACTTGAAGATGTCTCTTTTGTCAGTCATTTGATGCGATATTTAGAGGGTGAGGTTTGGAGAACGGTGATGAGTCAGGGAGATGAATATACAGTCTATGATGGGAACACTAACGGACATTTTAACAAATTAATCTAATTTAAATGTGCATTAAGTAATGTTTGGCTAGCTGACAATGACTTCATCTTGAACGTATAATTTTAACTAGTAGTTTGGATGCAGCATTATACAAAAGCAAAAGTTACAATTTTAGAAATGCTCTTATAAGTAATGATAATAAGATGCTCTTACAAAAAAATTAGTAGTATTTTAACAGGTGTGCAGTTCATTTATGAAACAGCAAGGGGCAGCATTTTACACAATCTAATACAGAACCTCTGTGTTGTCAGGCAGTCATGCTGTGTAGTGTACTGTGCTGCTGTGAGTGTACATTTTGATATAATCTATAAACTGCTAATGAGCTGTCATACTTTTCCAATGTAATCCAAGAGCTTCTTTACATTCACTGCATGATCATTGACCTGACTTAGTTGTAGACCTAAATGACATCTATATGGTCTACAGTTTTGATCTATAAGAAGTT